TAAACTGGGACTTGCTAGATTGTGGTAGGATTACTTGCATGTATCATTTATACCACTATAATTTCTGACACAGCCATAAAAGGAGAATTTTACTCAGGCATTTGCATGCTATGACATTGATTCATTAAGGTTTCTCCATTCCATCCATGATTTATATTCCCCAGTAGAAAATGGAGCAATATCAATTACAAAAGTGAGATTTCTACACTGTTATATAATCTTCAGAACTGAAGTGCATATTGTTTTTTTAGGCTCATGCACAACATATTCTGCTGACATAGTATGTGAAATGGATTCTTGATCTCTTTTGTTGTTATCATTTCATCTCTGGGAAATCTAAGCTATGCCTGTGTTAAGAAATTAAATGTGTCTGGATTGTTCTTTAGCACTAGAGCATGGAAAAACCCACATTTATATTATTAAATTCTTTTAACATTCAAATCAGGGTAGTGACATCTAAAGTGCCTGTGGGAAATGGACCTGATCTATCTCCTGGGCTGTGTCTAGGAATTTCCCAGGGGAGGGCTACATGACCTCACCACAGCCATGCTGGGGTCCAATCTGGCAATTTAGCAGTAGAGATAAGTACCCATAAACGTTCCCTGGCACTTCTGAAGTTAATAGTATAGACACAGCCCCAGCTTTCAAACCACTGAAAGAAGAAAAGAAAAGAGACTTGACTTTCAGGCAGTTATAGATGCTCTCCATAGGTAGAAGCTGTATTGGTAGCATGGCACTACTGATACTGTTAACCATCCATGGACCTAGTGGCTCTTGTAATCTAATTAGCATTTCACTTACCTCCTTTCATCCAAGAGGGAGCATACAGAGATTTCAGGTGGATTATGCAGTCCAAGAAGGGTTTTGATGAGTACCAGTGAGAAATTTCTGGGGCTCATTATAAGTCTCAAGACGATTTTTTGGTGACGTTGGTTACCTGCTCACAGGCAGAATTAGAAATGATCCCACGATGGTACCTGTTCTGGTGTGTGATAGCCAGTGCTGTCCACAGAGACAGCCTGCAACCCTGGGGAAGGTGCTGGGGACAAACATCCTTCCTTGTACCTGGAAGCCCTGCAGAGCTGCATGGGCACCTAGGACCTTTCTGCCACCTGGGAGCTCTGAGCTGCTATAATTTTTAGTGGTTTATCACCTTCACTGAATAAAGCTGCATCAAAGTTCACTCGCATTGGTAAAACTGGCTGCAGGACAAGAGCTGGTAAAAGATGGCAATTCACATTTATCTCAGGTTCCTTGGGTTGGTTTTACTATAAGCAAGAGAGGGAAAGTGCCATTTTCTTTTTTTCTTCCAGTCCTGACTCTGTCAACATACTGCACCCTGTCCTTATCTTTGTCCTGGACTTTTGGCAGTCCCTGGATACTTTTCAGACAGGCCAGAAGAACAAAGCCTGTTGAAATACCATCCCAGCTACAGACAACTGCTGCCTTCCTTTTAAAAAGGGGGGTGAATATTGACTGACTAGTTTTTAAATGTGAGAGGGTTTAATCCTGGACAAAATATGATCTGGGATCTTGCCTTTTTTAACATAATACAGCATTGTCTTCCATTGTTTAAATAAATAAATAAATAAATAAATATTTCTCTGCTTGCAGCATCACCATCTTATATTGCAGTGTCTCAGGTTTGTCTTCACTGCAAAAACATGTACTTATTTAAAAGGTCATTAAGTTTGGGTTAATAACTGACAAAAACCTCAAAGTAAAATTGATTTCACTAACTTCAATAAACCCCAGGTGTGCACACCTATACCGAAGTAGTACTACAAGTCTTGCCTTTGCTAAGGTTTTGTGGCTAGCAACTCGGGGCAAAGCAAAGATTCAAGATGGTGTTTTTAAGACAAGAAATGGTTTAAAGAGTGATTAGCTCTATAAATAAATAAACCAAACAGTTTGGTTCTCCATCATGTAAAGAACCCAATCAGATATCATAACCTTTTTTGCAGAAACTTTCCCTGTCTCCCTAAAAGAATATAAATATAAAAACAGGGAGACAATATGGCAAAGCTGCGTAAGCATACAAATGTATGCACCAAGTTTTCACTAACTTAGGAGTTTGCTGACTTTAAGATTAGTAACACTTTTCTCTGCAATAGTGTGCATAAAGCATCATTTATTACAGGAGTTGGAGCCAGGAGTCATAATTACTCTTATGATCCTGAAAATTTTTAGCTGATGAAATCAAAAGTGAAGCCCCATGTAAAGGTCTTCACCTATACAAGAGAAGTTCTCCTACATAGATAAGCTCTCCATACATATAATTTGACTCTCACATTGCCCTGTGTGGAGCCAGGTGGGCTTGATAATCCTCATGGGTCCCTTCCAATTCAGGATATTCTAGGATTCTCTACTGTATATAAATATACAGTGTATAACTGTATATAAATGTATATACTGTGTATAAATAACATTCTCTGCTCTTTCTTAGATTTAATTTCAGCCAGATGAGGGAATAATGAGGCAATGGCACTAAGAAATACTTTCTACTACTTGGATACATTTATGGAAATGAGGGATAATTAATTTATTAACTTTATTCTAGCAATAAAAAATATTTATTTGCCTGAAATGATTTGCATGATTTGATATCTGTATAACAATAAGAGTTAATACAAAAGGAGAGCAAAAGGTTCTGATTACTTTCTACCACTGCAAACGAGCAACCGTTCTGCTGTTATTAATGTATATATTCTGGATTTATGCCAGGAGAACAGACATCAGAGTCTGGCCCAAAAGAGGACTTCGGGAAAGGAAAGGTCACTGTCAACTCTAATTTTGTGCCCAGTGTGATGAATTATTGGCATGAACAACAACCACTTAACCTTCTAGCTTTCATTTCACTGCAAAAACATTAATGGATTTCTCTTTGTAACCTCTGTGTGAGGAAGGTCAGCGTTATCCCAGTTTTAAAGATGAGGAATTGTGCAGAGAAAAGCAAATGCATGGATTTTTATGATTCTGAGCCTTACATTGGCTGCCTAACTAGAATGAATTTGGCTCTCATGCCTCAGACCCATGTTACATGGTAATGATCTACAACCACCTCCTTTGCAAGAGGTCACAGAGACCTGGAGCACGGGCTCCATGGAGATACAGGCTTCAATGTGTTGTGGAGTGGATGCTAAACTTGTATTGGGATAAGTATACTAAAAGGTGTTAACCCTTTCTCACCCTTCTCTTTGCCTCCATCCCAGCTGGGTGCATTGCCTTTATTCGTGGGAATTGTTGTTTCAGCTCAGCTCACTGTGCTTAGCTGATGTCCCTGCTCCAGATCACCAGCAAAAGGTCTGAGCCATAGAAACCTGGATTTAAACAGTTAGCTGACATCCTGGTGGAAGGATGGCCTTGTACACAATGATAGAGATCTGTGTTTCGTTCTGCTTATCCAGATTTTGAGAGTTGTTTAATTAACCCTCTGCTTTGATCACCTGTGTAAAATGAAGTAGTAATTTATTTTCTACTGCCCTTGGACTTGTACACTTAATTAGGGGTTTCTCTAATGACAGGGCTGTATTAAACACTTTGCTGAACAAAATCTTTAGAATAATAGTAGAGCTTTGGGACTGCAATTGATCCTGGTTTTCCATTCAGCCCGTAGCAAAGACACTTGTTTAATAGCAAAGATACTTGAGATGTTTAAGTCCTGGTTTGCAATATGAAGGCACCTTGGGTCACCGGGATACTTTGAACCCTGCCTTGTTTGGGGACCAGTTCACATGCAGCAGATCGTCCACTCCCTATGTCTTTAGGTATACAAACTGAATAAAATATTCACAGACTTAAAAAAGTAAACCATCTGACACAGGTGGGTTTTCTTATTTGTTTGGCGCCTTTTTCTCATCAATGACCCATAAAACCATCCTGAAGGCTGTGACAATTACTCCATTAATGTCATCGACAAAGAGAAAGCATCCTTATCATGTGAATGAAAATGCAGCTTTGAGGCTTCCTACACAGCAGAGTATTTTCCAAATGAACAAAATCTCACAAAATCCCAATTAGAGATCTAGAGTACTGCCTCTGGCAATCTTAAAGTCAGTAAAGATCAGCTTTGAACTATCATGGTTTAAAAGCCTACTCTTGTCCTTAGAGAAGGATTTGGGCATTTCTGTCTTCATTCTTAGTTTCTTAGCCACAGCCCATATGGTCGTGAACGTCACAAGTCTTTTTTTGATGGCTGGTTCATTCATCTGCAGGAGAGCAAGCACACCCTCAAAGCAGGACTTTTGTTCCTATCTCTAGTACTGGAGTCTGTACAGTGACTTGAATGTCATGTCACATGTTACCCTCATATACCTTTAAATAAGGGAAAGTTATTTGGAGATGATTCCTTTTGGAAAATTTCCTTTGCAGGAAGATGTCAGCACCAAGACCCAGTGTAGATTATCACTCTAAATAACTCCACGCATAGCCAGGATTGTTTGCAAAGCTAGGAGCTCACTCCTATGAGTGAGTGCTAGGCACATAATTCAGGTTCTTCTAGACTTGGTTCCACTGCTTGCAGATGTCCCTTGCCATCCGCAGATGCACTTCCCACCCTCCAAAGGAGCAGCCAGCACAGATGTGATTTTTATGTCTCAGTGTCAGTGATATTGAATACATTTCCCTAGTTCAAGTAAAACGTCTCTTTCAAAAGTTAGAACAATGAGCCAGAGAATTGAAGAGCACTCAGACTAGATTAAATTGCTAAAAATAATGGTATTAGAGCAGATAATCATCAGGCTATTGGCAAGCACATAGAATTTGAGGCAATGTTGAGACTATACAGAAAAAGTTGCATTTAGTGATACTTTAAATAAACTGCAGTCACAAACAGGTCAGCGTTAGTACTAAAAATCTCCAGAGGTTGCTGTGTGATCTAAATAATAAACTCAAGTAAAAAAAAAAATCTCAGAGCAACTACCTGCATTTCAGTTTTTCCATGTGTAGAACTGCTAACGTATTGAATTCATTCATGAAAGACTTGTATAAAACATATAAAGCTCAGTTGAAAAACAATACTTTTAATAGGTAAAGAACAAATTAAATGGAAGTTGCTGACTTTTTTCAAGAGAGAAAAGATCTACATAATAAAACCCAACAACGGAGCTGTAACTGTTGTTACCACCCATAGCACACATTTTCAATGGCTACACATTTTTTCTGTGATTGTATAAGTGTGCAGAACTACCGTTAGTACACAGTTTAAAGTTCAGTGTCTAAATACACATTGTAATGTAACTGAGGACTAGTTTATCATCCACTCCTGTCATTTTATCAACATCAGGTTTGTTTGACTTCACAAGTTGCATGGAAGTGCGCTAGTAAAAACATCAGATAAATTTCATCCAAATGAGGAAAATGTTACATTCTCTAAGAAAGTTTTAAAGTTACTCAGGTGGTTTGGCAGAAAGACCCATCTGATAGGTAATGCTGTGATGATAGTCTGACATGTTCTAAATCCTGCTGTCTGCTGCATCAGCAAAATGAGGGAATGTGTATTAAACCACATCCTTGTAATATATGGGATGGCAAACAAAGCCACAGACAGTCAATGATTCATTGCACTGTGATTGTCTATCAGAATGAAAGGTTGTGAAAGCCTTGAAAATGAAAAGAATGTCTCCTAACATGTCAGGAGACAAGGGCAGCTCACTGAATACTCAAAGGCACATATACAATAGCAAATAAACTGGACTGTTTCAGGTTCAAAAACTGGGCCATGGTAATTTGTACTGTTTAATTGCTAGCATGCTCTCTGGCCTATATTTGCCCTGGGTCAATTGACTTTGTCTCAGACAATGCCAGAAATGATTTGAAAAACAGGACGTGCCAAGGACCATTCTCAGAAGGCAGACTGGTTACAACCAACTCCTTTCTGAGGGGAAGGTTAGCCATAGAAGGAGGCTCCAGCTTGTTTATTGAGTAGTGTAAGTGTCTCATCAACCAAGAGATTGGGTAAAGACTGGGGTTGGCTTTCAAATATTTGTCAGCATCATGACTAATCTGCATATAGTAAGGAAAGTGTGCATTTTGCCATATTTTATGTCTCCCATTTCATAATAAAGACGCTTTCAGGAGAGTTTGAATCAGTAATTTAGAGTACTTCATTTGCAACAGCTAAGGATTCATAATGAAAAAGAATTACAGGAGTTCAATTCCTTTGTTATTAGATTCGTCTGAGCCTGGCTCTGCAGATTACAGGAAGAGACAACGTGACCCTTTACACTAGTTCTTTCTTCATTTCATGGTTGGCTAATTGTCATAAATATCAGAAAGAACAAAAATATTAAGAAGGGCTCAGTAATTTCCAAAGTATCCATACTGAAAGAGCATAGATGACAATTACCATCAGCAACTCTTTCTGCAGAATCTGTCACAGATAGTTTTTAAAATATCTTGATGGATGAAGCCTTTTCACTAGAAGCCAGACACTCACTGATAATTATTCAGATATATTTTTCAGCAAAGAACATCTGTTTCTAGTCTATCACCACATTGTTTTATTAACCTGCAGATTTGAACAATACTAAGAAGGTGTCTGCCTGAAAATAAATTCAGTCTTAGAGTAGGACTGAATGTAAATAATACAGAATGACCAAGTGTTCACCAACAAGATGGAGAGAAGCTGGAGCCAGACTCTTCCTCAGAAGTGCTCAGGGAAAGATGAGGCAGTGGTCACAGATTGCACCAGGAGAAATTCTGACTGGACATGAGGAAAAAATAGACAAAGTGAGAGTGGTCAAATGCTGGAGTAAGTTATCCTGAAGGACTGTGGTTGTGGCATGTCTCCCCTTGGAGATATTAAAAACTTGACTGGACAAGACCCTGGGAAACCTAGTTTAATTTTGAATTTGGAACTTGTGTACACAGGGTATTAGATTAGATAAGCTTTTGAGGTCTCTTCCAAAACCAAAATCAAATAAAAACTTTGATTTTGAATACAAATATATGAAGATACATTCATTTCAAGCTGTGATTAGAACAAACTATATTAAAAGTTAATCTGACAATTATTCACAAAGAAAAGCACTAAGTATTATAGCAGTTAATAAGAGCTCTACTTATACCATTGTGCTAGGGGCTGTATAAATATATCAAAGGACTGCTTGTGCTTTGAAAAACTCATAGGTTCTCACTTATTCAGTGCTAACTAATATACAACACTTGAGTAGTGATTTCCTTTAATTAAAAGTGGAGATTTACCATGTAGATGACTACATCTGGTTATTAGACAACTTACAGTATGAATAGAGCTAATTGCTACATCTAACAGAGTTTAGTGGGGGGCTCACCCCATTTTATGGTGAAAACCTTACTTTTTGCCTGAGATATACATCCTAAAATTCACAGGCTGCAATGACTTGGGTTCTGATGATTGTAATGGGAGGTTCGATGTAGACAAATAGACTCTAAACACATAAAACTTGGATGAAGCTTCTCCAAAGTACTTTATAAATGAATTTAATCTTACGTCTAACTTCTCTGCAACAAGAAGAGAAAATGAAGCTCAAGATGACTTTGTGTCTCCCTCAAGCCACGTGCAAGCCATGTGAGAGTGTAACTAAAGATTTTCAGCATTCAGTCTCTATTGCCCTACCACAGACTGGACAGCTTAATAATACCAACTAGTACTGATAGTACCTAGGACAAGAGAATAGACAAGCCTTATTAATGGTCATCCATTGCTCATTGACATTAATTAAAGACGTGGAAGAGTGCATGGGATTTGGCTATGATTTTCAAGGAGACTTTGTTCATACACAGCAGACTGATAACACTGGCAAGCAGGAAGAATAACAGATATTTCACTTGCTACAGTAACCTAGAGAGACTAACCATGCCTTTTTTAAAAATGAGGTACATTGAAAATACAATTTTAACCAATCTGAATAAACAAAAGCTTGCATTCTAATGAGTATAGGGAAAATGATTAAAATTCAATATTAACATGCAAGTAAAGTCATTCTGACATATTTGATACTCAACATCTTCACATTTTTTACTCTTTTACCCTAATCTGGTTTGTGCTAGCCATCATTACATTTATGTGTGGTAAATGTGTCAACCCACTGGAGACTGAAATAGGCTGGGAACACATGGAATAGCCTTCTGCCAGCTTTGGCAAAAATTTCTTTCATTTCACAGGTTCTTCTAGGTTCAACAACACCGAGCCAGGTGTTACTCAAGCCCCTGCCTATTAGACCCAGTGCAATTCACAGTACCTGATGCTATAAGGAAATTAACATCCACTTTGTTCTCTACCTTCCCAGTAAATTATATTAAAAACTGGTGGCTTGTTCTGCTTTCCCTTATCGCTTTCTAGGCATCCAGTATTTTGATCAACGTCACTGGTATGAGCAGGATTTACTTGTATTATACAACTAATGAGACTTTATTTACACTGGGGTAACACAGCAGCAGTACTAGAAATCTCATAGCTTCAGTATACGCTAACTGATACTGAGATTTCAAAGCTTTTTAGAGAGCAGATACAACACACTGTATCCAAACTTTCCCACCAGCTTAAATCAAATTTTAAGTCTAGCAACATGCAGCTCAGCTTTTCTTTCTCTGCCCTGCAGGGAAGAGTCCAGTTTTTTATCCACCTGAATTACAAAATCTGGATTTGGGCCTGAAATCAATGCAAATTCCTTGGCAGGTTTTATCTAGGTCTAAATTTCTCATTATAACTTCTATCTAGAAATACAGGGAAGAAAATTAGAAATACATGAATCCGGGTGAAACCAAGTGAATACTACTGACCATTGAATTTCTACTCCATCTGTTCATCTCTGGAAGAACCTTTTCTGCTTGTCACTCAGTATCTTCATTAAGAGAAGTTGGTTTTCTCTCCTACGCTGTCTCAGAAAAGTGGCCTGTTTTTCTCCAGCAATAATAGTTTGTGCTCATAGGCTATCACAAAAACAGACTCACCAAGCTAGTTGAGGTCAGTTCAGGGAGTCCAGATAATCCTTTTGCAGAGAAGATGTCAAACAGTTTGTAATGAGATGTCACATATCAGTAAGACAAGTTCAGATCGGGAGTTGGAAGGCTTTCCTGGAGGTCTGAGACATTCATTCTCTGGGGCCAGAAGAAACATTAAATATTTGTTCTACAGATTCATATATAAGACCACAGAAGGTTATTTTACTGCCTGCGAGTTGTCAACAACACATATCACCTCTTTATTCTGAGATTTTTTCCAGGTGATGGCATTAATTAACTTGAGATCTGCCTACAGATGGAGGGCAAAGAAGAGTTACTGTAGTGACAAGAGGTAAGGGAAATATGAGAGTCTGAGAATATAGCAAATCCACAGGTCCTGCAGGGTATGATACACTCATTTTGTTACAAAAATAAATTTTTACATTACAAGTAAACTTATGAGACTCCAAGGTAGTAGAGCCTGGAGGTCTTCAAAACCATCCAGGTCTTGAAGATGCCAATCAGACCACAGAAGGTTTAGTCTGTATTCATTTGGCTTGATGAATCATTTTAAGACAGTGATGCTGTCATTAATGATCAAGGGAATCACATATCTAGGGATATAATCACAGAACTCTAAATCTTTCATGGTTATAAATATAAAAGATAATGGAGAGATAATTAACAGAGATTAGAAACAGAAACAGAAAAGAAGAGAAAATGAGAAGTAGAACTCATTGGACCATGTTGTTTCCTCTTCATCTTTGCTATTTCCTCCCCCCAAAATACTAATTCAGCTCTTCACTTTAAAAATATTTTTATTTATTATTCACTTATTTATTTATTGCCAAAAAAGAACTTCAGGTTTTGGATGTTTGCACAAAAGTGTATATTCTGTAGAGAGAAAAAAAAAAAAAACAAAAACAACAAAAAAACCAAACAAACAAACAAACCAAACAAAAAAAAAACACAAGAAAAAAGAAACATATGCAAATACGGAAACACATAAAAGACAAGACATCTTCCACACACATTAATTATTAAGATTTTTTAAATTATTATTTAATTATTTTGGGGGGACAGTTAATGAAAAGAATGAAATGCTATATTTTTCTCTGAGTGAAGAGTAATACCTATAAAAGCATATGAAATGAAAAGGTTTTAAAAACTTTAAGTAATCAAAGACTATATATTATCTGAGCTGACATGTATATTCTCATTTTTGCTGAGAGAAACCTACACAGGATTACAATGCAGTACACAGACTTTCTCAAATTGCCCAAACAGTGTAATCAGGAGTACTACCACAATGATATTTGTCCATAACCTGCAGCACAGATATTGAAGTTCCTATTGAAAACAACAAACAAACATAAATAAATAATATATAATATATATGGTGACAAAAAGTGTTTGGGAAAGCAAATTTGGAAGGAATTAGGAACTCAATTTTCTGTGTGCTCCTGAGAGGTAAGGAATAATAAGGAACATGACAAGCAATAGTTTTGTGAAGGCTCTGAAGAGAGTGGAATTATACGCAGGGATGCAAGAAAGGCATATATAGGATCAACGGGAATCATTTGGTAATGTTTATGCTGGTTTCAGGAATCTTCCTGACAGCCAGACCTATTAATCTGTTACTGAACTCCCAAATAAAACCCTGCTTCTGAAGCTTTTCTGCCTCAGCTCTGACAGATGTTTCCTGGGAACACTCATCTCTTGCATGTGAGTGAAGGACATCAGAAGTAATTTCTTTTCCTAGTTAGTCCCTGCACAGTGGCTAGAACTGTTGTGATATTTAAACCTAAATCATGATGACAGCATTTTACACCCCTATTGCCATAATGGAAGGACAGTGTAACCAGAAATTATTTCAACTCTTAGCACAGAAGGAGCTTCGGATACAGAGGAGGTGCTTTCTGCATTAAAAGGGCCATTAACATTTTGCCTGAGTAAAGCCTCTTGTTGCAGGAGGTCTTCAGTGGGGAGCTCTCAATTTTAAAGAGAATCAAATTTTAAAAGATGGGGGAAAAAATCTTTACAGTGCTTTTTACAGTGCTCTAATTTCAGTTGCTGAAGGACAAGCAGTTTAAGCCCTACAGCAAATATACTTAAGTCAATTGAGATGGCAAAATAAAATCTTGTAGGTTTCAGCTCAAACCTACAAGACACTTTCTATCTCCTCATAAGCGAACCATAACCCATATTCAGCTTGAAGGTCACCTGTGGTGCTCCTCCTGGCCCAGAAGTATTCAGACAGCTCTGTCATTTTTGTGAGCCACTGCTTTACTGCACTTTCCATTTGTATTAAATGAGGATAATTCATCATTATCTCACTAACGCTTTGAAAGACTCTGTACCTGATATTGGCCCTGACTGAAAACTCATAAATTCATGAGATTGATGCTGGCACCATCATATATCTTCACTTTTAAATCAAATGGTGTTTTCCCATAAATATTTTGGAGAGTGTCAATTCTAATTAGATTTTAGAAATTAAACCAAAGGGTTAAACATTCAGAAAATGTCTGTTTTAACAAATTTGATTGCAATATTTTAATTTTGACATTTCAAAGCTTCTAACATCAACCTCATTAAATTTTGCTAACTACTTTTGTTTTTAAGATCAGAAAAAAAATATTGTATAGCTGTAATGTATTCCACAATTATGGGAAAAAAAAAAAAAAAAAAAAAAGATTCCATTGCTTAGCAAGTCTGAAGGTAGCATTGTTGCTTGTCCAACTCAGGCAATGACTTTTGCTGTGGTTGAGGCAGAAGCTTGATATGACTCCTCATGTCTTGCTTGCTTTACTCACCTCTAACTCACTGGCCATCCACAATCGTTCCCAGTGCTTGGATTTGGTGGGTTTTCTGGGACTAGGGAAGGCAGGAAGTGAATGAGAAAGGATCATGTGTTGGTAATGATCAAATCAGTAGTGCACCTTGAAAAGCACAGCCTGTGAGTCTGAAGAGATCTAGGAGAAATCTGGCCAAGAAAAAAAAATAAAATCAGAAAACAGCCAATGGAACAAAATGCTTTAAAGGCCATAATTTATCCTGTTTGACCCTGAGCTCTGCCTTGATCTCATTTCTTTCCAACCTGAACTGGTTTTGAACAGAGTGCATCAGAGTGCATCCTTCTGGGGGAGGGCTGAGGGAGTGGTTGCAGAGGTGGTGAGTGGAGTTGTTTACCTACGAATGTAGAGGACCTCCAGCTCTCTTATTCTTCTTGTCGACACAATTTGCTGCATGTGATCAATCGCAGAACAGGACTTCATAAACCCTTATCCAAATTGCAGTCCTGAGACAGAGTGATGAGAACCATCTGATCTTTGTTCACCAAGACCAGAGCCATTCCTGGGACATAATTAGTTGTCAAATAATACCATGGGATATATTGTCACATCTCCAGATCCTACAGAGGGCATTGCTGTAGAAGAATGATAAAAGGATCTGAAACATACTGGAAGACTGAGATGAGTTGGCAGAGATACAATGTCTCTTAGATAGAGAAGGCAGTAAATTTCCTTCCTTGTCAGCAAAATCTCATCATCCTCATCCAAGCAAAGGTCCCAGTGAATTTTAGCCAGAGATTTGCTTAAAGGAAGACTGTATGAAAAGTTAGTTAAAGATTGCATAATTAGTCCTTACATAATTTTGTTCTGCCCAAATTGGAAATGGAGATGACTTTTTTAGCTCAGTAGGTAGAAGTGACAAGAGTAACTCTTCTTAGTTCAGATAAGGGTTTTCCATGTTCTTCTTTTAAGTGTGAGTTAAAGATGTGGTTATTATACTGGCAATTATATAGAGTCCCATTTTAAATTTAGAAGATATCCATAAATTGCTTTCATGGTATTTTCCAACCAGCTGGTGGCTGTGTTTGCTGACTATCTGAGTTATTAGTGAATGATTTGGCACACTGTTAATCACTGTGCTCTTGTAATGCCAACTTTGGCAACAAATTTTGCTTCTTCAAGGTAGTTGCCATTCTGCAAATCAGAGTTTAATACCAACCAAACAACATCCATCAAGACTAAAGTCTGCCTTGCACAGCATGAATTACATTATTACATTCCTTTCCAGTGATAAGTCTCCTGAATGGCTTGGTTGTTTGTACCATTTTCTTGGTTTAGGAAAGCAAAGCAATTCTTCAGAATGAGTTTCCAATTTATACGCTTGAATAGTTTAAATTCCATTCCAGCAATATATATAATGCATCAATACCATGTTCTGTATCCTACCCAGGCTGCTTGGATGAAAGACAGCGACCACTTGTCTATTGCCATCAGTACTTAGCAGGGTGAGGAAAATCTTAGAATTAAAATGACTCTCCATGGGTTTTGCATTTGGTAAGTTAATTTTGTCATCAATACAAATCCAGGAGCAGTGAAAAATAAAATATGTTTTTCCTTAGTATGTTCTAGAGAAAAGTATTTTCAGTCTGTCTTGCATTGACACAGCATGCTGCTTTTGTGAAATGTCATGCCTACTGCAGTGCATTTGCTACCATCATCTAAGGTCTCATTAGATCCTGGCTCAGGATTTGAAGGAATGGATGAATTTGTGTGCAGCCACAATATATTTTTCTGATGACAACTCCTGATACAAAATTGAAAGACAGGATACCAGCACTATAGCATAGAGACACACTTTACAAATGGAGTTGCAATGTAAAACTGCCCCCAAATATAGTAGTGTCCTGCAGAGCAGGAACTGAAGGGATCTGTAAGTACCTTGAGTCATAGGTCTATTGAAAGTGTCATCTTTCAGAGAACTGAAAATGAGATTGTTTGCCACTTACAGTCATTTTAAATTTGTCAACAGACAAATTATTGATCTCTGTACCAAGGAAAAATTCAATACAAGTCACTCTGCTACTTAAATTCATATTGATGTGTCAATTCTATGCACTGTCCATACTCATTTTTGGCAATAATATTCTTATGCAGCTGGAAAAATATATTTTAGGGCTAGCTCCTTAAATGAAGGAAACCTGGACTTTCTGTCAAATGCAAAATGCAGTGTTTTGGAATGGATTTTATTTACACTGGGATGAAAATAAATTAGAACAACAACAACAAAATATTTCCCATGCACCAAAGAAAAATAAAAATACACGACAAATAATTTCTTCATTAATTAAATATTCAAGTTAGTGAACTACACGCTCCACTTCAAAGTAAAAATTCATTACAAATCAGATATACAGATATACTTTTTTTTTTTTTTTTTTTCCCGTCAAAACAAATATCAAACAAAGCCTGCATTACTGAACTGTTTGTTACGGCTATTTCTTCTGGATGCATTTCAGAATACAGAATACAGAAATGGTAGGGATGAAGTAATTTACTGTTTGGGTTACAAAAGATAGCAAGAAGCAGGAAAGTCCATCCTTCTTCCTGGAGCTTTTTATTTTTGATGTTAGGCTTAGATGTGATGCCAACATTTTTACAGTCATAGGGAAGGAGGGAAACATCTCTGGACCTGCCTATGAAGAAACCATCCCTTAAACTCTTCTGATCAAAGACTATTACTTAGGGAGTAGTGGCAATAGATGGTTAATCCATTTTCCTGGCAATTTTTGAACAGCATCTCTATGTGTGTGCATTTTTTTTTCTTTCTTTAATCTGTTTTTAGTGATAAATATTTGGCCTTCAGTGTCCAGATAATAATTTGAGCAGGTTTCAGGGATGCTTAGCAAATAGCTTAGCAAATTTCAGCTTTTAAATGGCTACTAAATAGCAGTGTATCATGGGATCTGCTGAAAGAAGAGCAGTGCTGAAGAAACAGACCTGGGTGTGCAAGTACTGCTGTTTTGCTTCCATCTCAGGCTTCACATCAGATTATAACTAAACATTATTCTTTCTGTCTCTCTGAAAATCTTCCAAAGCCTGAGGAGACCTAATTAGAAGATAGTGGTAGGGCTCAAGATAACAGTAGAAATTTCTGATTAGTCAATTTTTAATGGGAATTGTCTGAAAGAACCACTGTTTCCTCTGGCATTGTGCTGAGTCTGCATGGGCAGGTAGCCCACTTTTGTGCCACTGGGCTGACAGGAAACCCCACTGTCCTCTCACCAGCCATTTCAGTGATGGGCTGCCTGGCTCCCCAGAGCATGCTGAAGGCTAAGGAATTTAGGACTGAAAGAGCAGGGAGTAATATTTTCCATTCCCCAGAAACAAGGTTATTACTGAAGTGCTGTCTTGCAGACAGTTCTGTAATTTTTCCTTCCCATTCTCAAGTAAAGTAACGTCTTTCACTAAACCAGCTAATACAGATGGAAAAACACCACCACCACCAAACAAACCAGCAAATAAAACAATCAAGCCTGTTAAAGAAGTGGTTGTCCTGTTCTACTCTGTGCTGGTGTGGCCTCACCTCGAGTACTGTGTGCAGTTCAGGGCACCACAGTACAAAAAGGACATGAAACTGTTGGAGAGTGCCCAGAGAAGGGCTACAAAGATGGTGAAGGGCCTAGAGGGGAAGACATAAAAGGAGTGGCTGAGGTCACTGGGCCTGGTCAGCCTGGAAAAGAGGAGGTTGAGTGGGGACCTTATCGTGGTCTACAGCTTCCTCATGAGGGGGAGTGGAAGGGCAGGCGTTGGTCTACTCTCTTTAGTCACCAGTGATAGGAACCATGGGAATGGTGTCAAGCTGAGGCAGGGGAGGTTCAGACTGGACATCAGGAACAGGTTCTTCACTGAGAGGGTTGTCATGCAGTGGAACAGCCTCCCCAGGGATGTAGTCACAGCACCAAGCCTGTTGGAGTTTAGGAAGCGTTTGGACTCTGTTCTCAGTCATATGATCTGAATTTTTGGGTACACCTGTGTGGTGCCAGGAGTTGGACTTGATGATCCTTGTGAGTCCCTTTCAACTCAGAATATTCTATGATTCTATGATTCTATAATTCTAAGTCTTCTGCCTTAATTCTTAGCTCATTTTAGAGAATGAAGAAATACTGGTCATAGAAAATCCAAGCTTGCTGTCAACTTCAGCCAAGTTTAACCACAGTCTCTTTATTTATGTTTTCAGTATGAGCCAGAAAAATAATAATCATAGTCAAAGGGTATTCAGAATGCACGGGACAGGTCAAGCTGGATGATATTAAGCTCAGTCCATCAGACAGTGATGTTTCCTAAGTACAGTATGGGTACTCTCAGTTCAGGACTGTCTTGGTAGTATAGAAGGAGAAAAAAACTCATCCTGTGGTCTGAGCATGTTTTCTGAAGGTGTAGTCTCAGATTTGCATTTAACTATAGTACATCAGTTCATAACATGGTGATTATTTGTGTAATTTAAAACATCTGAGCAGTTTTATTGAATTTAGTACTTAAGAATAAGGATGCTTTTAAGTACTCTGCTAAGCTATAGCTTTAAAAGCTCATGCCTACGCAGCAGTTATCACAGGATTCAGGAGTGTCTCACACGATGTGGTGCTGTTGGAATATCATTACTACAACATCTATTAAGTGCTGTTTGTCCGAGTGGTTGGTTATCACCGTGTTTTTGCTCAGAAGCTATTAAAATTGTTAAAGGGCAGCTTTCTTCCTGCCACTGGCTCAAATATATTTCTGTTTTATAGCCTCCATAAAAAGAGAAGGATGAAGATGCACAAACAGAGTAGTGAAGTTTAATGGTGGAAAAAACAGACACTTGAATATATATCCCTTGAAGAACTTTGGTGTATTCTTCATTGAATTTATTTTCCTCTAAAACTCTCTCTGAGTAATAGCTATTAATTAGCACTGTGGTGCTAAGTAGTATATTACTGTGGTGTAGTGTATTGACGAGGTCAAGTGTGGTTATCTTAGCTGCTTTTTTGAAAATGAGGTTTGTGGCTACATCATAAATTCCATTTCAGCTTGAAGCTTCAGCTGGCAAACAATAATAGTTGGGACATATAAAACATTACTTCTCTTGCAGATTTTTGAACTGAGTTTTCAGTTACCTGATGATACTTCTGTGTTGCAGAAATTGTCAGTTTTCAAGATTCTTTGATAAGGCTATATATTTTGTTGGCATAAAGAAGTCATTTATTTTCAGAGGAGGAAGAAGACTACCCTGAAAAAAACACCATGCTGATGACAGGTGCTGTTGACAAACCTGAGTTCCATGACATGTAACACTGTGCGTTCTCATTTACTTTATTTCTACTGTGCACAAGCGTGGAAACAGACATAGTGAATCTGTAATTGGGAAGGTTTATGAATATGAATGAGAAAAG